CCGGGTGCACAGTTACACAATAAGGAGCGTCGTATAATTCATTGGGCGGAACACTTTTAAAATCAGGTCAGCTGGCCCTCTGCTCCCGGACGTCTTCCTACTCAGATGATGCAGGAATAGCCATGAACAATTAGTTTACAGCTTCCGTCGGAGGCCGAGGTCGGAAACGCTATCACAGCCCTCAATCGTTTTCGTGCTGCTAGTCCGGATTCCCTCTCACCTGCGCAAGTTAAGGATTGAGATGAGGTCCTCTGAAAAGTACTGACCTCCCTATTCAAACCTCTCGGGAAGGAAGAGAGTGTCCCGGATAACTGGAGTGTATCGATTATAGTGGCAATATACAAGAAGGGCAGCCACCAGACTTATCTAACCACAGGAGTATTAGCCTCACGCGTTGCGAAAAACATTTCTGGCCTCAATTCCCTTTCGTTGCCTCACTGTGGAAAGGGAATCTCGGACTAAGGAACAGCAGGCAGGTTTGAGCTCAGGACATGGCTGTATAAGCCATGTATTCACACTGCGTCAAGTAATAGAGCCGCGCCACGCATACCGCCGACCGACAGTAGCAGTGTTCCGCGATTTCAACAGTGCGTTCGATTCAGTCGATCGATGCATTCTGTTCGAAATGCTTGCGATGAGAGGTGTTCCCACGAAATATCTGAACATCCTACATGCCCTGTACTCGAACACTACAGGCTGCGTCAGGTTCTAAGGTGACTTGTCGGATAGTATTCCGACCACAACTGGTATTCCTCCGAGTTGTCCAAACTCCCCATATTCTCTCAAGATCGTTGTGGGCTACACCATGGAACGTTCCCTTGCGGGATTTCACGATGTAGGCGTTGTGGCCCTGCCTGGCGAAAGGTTAGTAGATCTTGATTATGCGGACAATATCGTCTTGCTTTTCGACGATGTTGCGGCGGCACAATCAACCTTCAATAGCCTGTCTTAACTGGTCCCATTATTTGGTATGCGTCTCGTACCTTCAAAGTGCAAAGTGTTGCTGCAGGACCACCAGCTACTTGATGACCCCTTGACGCTTGCTAACGAGGAACTCGAGGTGGTTGATTAATTCACTTACATTGGCAGCTGCATCAGCAACGATGAGCGCATAGAAACTGAAGTCATTTCACGCATTGCGAAGACCAGCACTTCATGTCTTGAACTTGGAGCATCTTTGGCGACAGAAGGGAATTTCCCTTTGTCGGAAAATACCGTGTATATAAGGCCACAGTGAGGGCCGTCCTGCTCTCTGGTAGTAAAACTTGCCCTCTTCGGTCTGAAGATCTGAGGCGCCTTCAAGTATTTGATCATCGTTGTCTGCGAAGCATTGCTGGTGTCGGATGGCACCAGTGTGTCCGCAACGATGATGTTCTTGCGCGGGTACTAGGAACTGATAATTATGCTATCTCCCGGGAACGCAGACAGCACTGAATAAGTTGCGTTAGCTTGGACACATGCAACGTATGCCTGGTCATCGCTTACGTAGGAGGGCTTTGGTTAGTCTGCCAGATGTAGGATGATGCAAAGCTCGAGGTGGACAGAAGTTGACTTGGCAGCGGAAAGTGAAGTCATTGACGACCAACCTGGGTGCCGTTGGTCCTTCTCGCCTTCCTGGCTGGAGTCCACGTGCCTCGCCTTTCGCTTGACTCGAGAGTTTACAGGATATGGCTCGCAACCGACACCAGTGCCGCGTCTGCTGTCTTCTCCTAATCGGATTGCCTGTTTAAAATATGCTTGGTGCTGTTGTCTGCTGGTTAAGACGCGTGGCAGTGAAAGCCGCAAGGAAGCTGTCTCGCCGATGCCGCCTTATCTTTGCACGATAGCCAGCTGTTTGCGACGGTAGGTTGTCTTCTCAAGGTTTAGACACCTTGACCTTGAATGCTTGCTTAGGGCATTAAGGTTTTCAGGTAAGTCCCCCTTCTCTCCGTCTTACTATTCTTTATTCCATTGCTCATCATGGTTGTATGGCAACGAAGCATCAGTTCACATGGCTGACGTACTGTAGTTATCGTTTTTCTTGTTGTTGTTTTACATGCTTAATGCACAGCAATGTACCAAAACAACAAGACAACAAAACCTTTCGTGGCTTAACTAGATGGCAGTTATTCACCATTCTGCCATGGCTATTTTAAAGTATGATCACGCGGTTTCGTATCAGCTGGTGCTCTCATGCGCATATAGACCCCTCACGGTGTCACATGTCAACTACCTCTGTTGGCTGTACCATAAGGCCAAAGCAGAGCTGTTCAATACACATCAAGGTACAAAAACAAGAAAAAACGCCTTTCTATTTTGAACAGTAGACTGCTGGTCATTCACCCCAACCTGCAACGAACATTTTAAGGCATGATCACAAGTGATAGTAGTAAGAGACCACAGTGACGTCGCTGCGCACTGCTGACCTCACCAATATATGTCATCTGATGATCGATCTATTTCCGTGAACCTGCCCTGTGGCCATAGTGGAGTGCCATATCTTCAAGGACACCACTTAAGTTGCACCACGTGACAAACTTGACACAAGTTGTCTGTTTTCGTCCAAGCTACATAGTACAGCTTAGTCCGGAAAAGCACCGGAGTCGTTTCGCCCTACTGGGACCAGTCAGTGGTCCGCATCCCCTCGGTCCCTTACTGGGGATCGAACTCATGACGGCTATGTAGTTGCCAACTAGCCAGCAGCTTAAGCCACTGAGTCCTGGGGAGGTCGGCTAGGCTACACAATTTGCAGGTTAACTGGGATATAGCACGACCTATCTTCCACTACCACGCTGGTTACTACCTTAGCAGATGACAGTGGCTAGCCTCCGAAGGTCATAACCCTCTCACTAGACGTTACGTCCATAGCATTTGAAACCGTGGGTCTAGATTTTAATACCTTTCCCGACATTGGCTGGATCTGTCATGCGTGTGCCTATACAGATCCCTTACTCCGTGTCACATGACAGCCACCGCTAGTTTGGCAGCACCACGAGGCCATAGCAGGACTGTCCAATTGGTAAAGGAGCGCATGTGATCACACAGCGTAGAGGCCCACTTCACTTACATTGGTAGGCAATAACGGATAACAGTGGTTACCACTGGTCCATTGCCCAGAACTTGGACACACAATTCTGCTCGGTCGCAACAGAAATATGATATGCCCATAGAGCACTGTACTACTCACAAGCATCAGTAGGCAGCATTATCAAAGAATAGTAGTGGAATGCGACCTAATACCGCCTGACTGAACACCATACTTCATGAGGGTTTTTGCATTATCCACAATGGTGCTGTGCGCAGTTTCGATTCAATTAACGTAATTTATGTACAGAGAAGGGTCTATTGTCAGTTGGGTCTGTAGTTGACCATGTGTGCTTGGTCGCTTAAATCAGAGCAACAGTTCCCCAGTGGTAATCCAAGTTGTTGTTTTGTTTCCTGACGACGATAATGGTTTAAGCTTGTAATACTCCACTGTATGGCCAAATCCCCAGTCATGCAATTAGGAAAATCTCGGCTGACTTGCTTAATGATTGCGCCACAGGCCCCCAGTGCGCATCTTCCTATCCGATAGTACTATCCACCTATAAATGCTTGTACTTTAGCGTCGAACTTACGGTCCAGCATAACTCCAGCAAGTGCTGATCGAGAGCGTGTACCCCGACTGTCCTGACCGCCGCCCCCCTTCCCCCCGTCCAGTTAATGCGGAGTCTGGACTGTGATCAGAAATCCGCCATGGTGGACAAAGAGGCGTGTTCCACTGTGCTCACATCTGCATATTGGGCCGATCGATAAACCACCACTAAGCCATCCTCGGTCGTTCCGATTCCGTTGGCAAAATGGGACAGCTAGCACCACAGCATCGAATGCGTTTCTGACTTGGCGTCGGCTTCAAATGCAATCTCTCAGTGCTCGATTAAGAAATACCCTCATTGACCATATAATAATAATATCACGAATTCTCGGATACTCGATATACACTCTTATCGATCTTATCGAATATTAACACTCCATGTGTTACACGTTGATAAGATAAATGTCTTTTTTGGAATTTCTATGGCACTACAATGCTCCAAAATGGTTGCTGCATTGTTCTATCAGCTCATATTAACTTAATTTTGAAGCGCACTATACAACAGTTGTTGTAGTACGGAACAGCTCTGTGTTTATGCAAAGGATATCTATAAAAATGGTAGCGTTGGCCTGTGGATTAACCCCTACGGAGTGTACCTTTCGATGCATAACGACAGACACCTAATAAAGCGGGCCGAACTACCTTCCCTACCTCAACTCACAGAACAAATATCAAGATACAAGGTACAGTGGCGGAATAATGTCCGCAACGACTTAACTTGGATATCAGTGGTACTTTACTTAACTGGAAAATCATACTTACTTACATCTTTGTGATGGCAGGAACAACACACCGGAAAGAGGTAATAACGTTCCACCATTCAAACCCCGTTTGGCGTTTCCTCACACCTGCACACACACACACATGCACACTTTCACACGAACAGACACACATGGGAGCCTTAAGAATGACATGAGCCGAGGAGGATAGGACCTGGTGAACAATAAGTGTGTGAGGATATGGACATATTTCACATTCCTTACCAGCGGCCATCTGTATACCAGTACCTTCAGGTAGACCTGGCCACGTAGGGAAGAATACTAACGTGAGTGCACACAGTGGACCCGTGTTATCTTTTCTAATCTGCTTCCGTTTGGATACGTGGTTCATTGAAGTAGGTATGTTCAAAGTAGCATTTACTATGAGAGTATTCGGGAGGGCGGATAGAGAGATGCGGTGAATTTTCCTTGTCAGGTTCCATGATGATAGGAAAACTCCTGAATAGGTGAAACCGTGTAAATACGATGTTGCATTAGATGGATTCAGACTGGTCTGGTGTTTAATTTTTCTTTGGTACTGATTCTTTTGAGGTTTATACATAGTCCAGTTTCGTGCAACCTGCTTTGTCATGGATATCATTTCATGAAATCTGTTTCCGTCTCCCCAGCGGATTCCTCGGTTGCTGCCTGATTCCCTTCTTCGTCAACACATGCAAGGATGCAAAACATATGTGCCCGGTATGTAGTACCGAACTTGGAACATTCAAACGACTCTAGACCTCCAGTGATCTGCCCGCATCCTCTCAGCAGCCTCAGCCCCACTTGCGTTCCACTTTCCGACAACTACCCCCAAGCCCTTTAACTGACCAGTTAGTTAAATGGCGAGATGCATGGAACTTTTGTGGTACTACCGAAGCGCCTGAACTTTTCGGCCCTCAGCCCAAGCATTCGTGCAAACTGATCCCTCGCCATCGAATCTGAGGTGTGTCGTATCCGTCTGGATTGTTCTGACTGCTTCTCTAGCTGCTCAACCCATTTGACAATGAATATTCAGCTACGGTGACTTCTAGGGGTTTCTCGGTTTCTGTTAACTAGAGTTTATTTGTCCTGTGTGCATATATTTCTACTAATTCTGGCTTCAGTTCCTCTGCAATGAAACACCTAGAGGGTTATCGGCGATTCCTGTCGATATCCGTTGCATTTGCGCGCAGCGTTGCTGGACCTCAATGCAGTATGAAGCCAGCAAGGTCCGCCGGTTTCTTCTTAGTGGCTGTCCACATCGAGGAATAGACCGATATTGAAAGAATAAGAATAACATTTCAACAGGATAACCTGAATTTAGCAAGTTGGTATGTTCTCGTCACCCATTGTTGCTTACCACCTGAATGCTAACTTTCCGTTCAATGAATTGTGCGCAAACAGCTGAGGATAATACGCGATTAGATATCTGTTTCGTATCTACTCATGAGTAGTATAACATATCGTGATTTATTCTGCTGGAGCGACCGTGCATTTGTGCCCTAGTATTGCCGGATGCATGACTGTTCACGTGAGCGAATCGAGAAGCCACTTAAATTTTATCCTGGCAATGTATTTACGAAATTTCTAGTTTGGCAAAGACGCTCGAGAAGATCGTGAAGAAGAACCTTCTGCAGCTTCTCGAGTGGAAAACTTGTTAACCTCCGCACAGCATGGTTTCATGAAAGGTCGCTAGTGCATCACCAACCTAATGTTGACGAGGCACATATGGTTACAAGCGATGAACTAAGGCCATTCGGTCGATGTCATTTACATTGACTTCAGTAAGGCTTTTGACAAGGTTAACCATGCAGTGCTCCTTGACAGGCTGAGGATGTACGGTGTTGGTGGTTCGCTGCACAAATGGATCGGAAATTTCCTTGTTGATCGAAAGTGGAGGGTTCAGGTGGACAATCATCTAACTGACTGGTATCCATCGAGCAGCGGCGTGCCCCAAGGCACTGTACTGGGGCCGATATTGTTTCTGATCCAAGGAAACGATGCGCCTACTCTACTCCAATCAACTTGTGCGTTGTTCGCAGATGACTTGAAGGTGTGGAGAGTAGTCCGCACGCTCAATGACTGTGATTTACTTCAGCAGGATCTCGACAGCCTCTCAACATGGTCTGCAGAGGTTAACCTTCCGAACAACCCTGCTAAGTCGCAATTTATGAGGTTGGGTAAGTGTTAGCACGGCCGAACCTACACAGTGGTTGGTCAACCGCTGCATCCCGCGTCTTTTGTGCGCGACCTCGGTGTGCTCTCACGCTGCGACCTAAAGTCCATTGACAACGCGAATAGGCTGTAATAAAACAGCCTTCGGATGCTTTGGGCGCTCAGGCGCAGCTTCATCACTTGGTCCGAAGGGATTGCTACTCGCCTCTTCGTGTCGATAATACGACCAATGCTAGAATACGGCTCTCTTGCGTATTGTACCATCACGCTGGGAGAGGTAAAAAAAGCTTGAGCGGGTGCAGCATGTAGCCACCAGGCTGATTCCCAACTTACGAGGTATGCCATATGAAGACCGATGTAAGAAACTAGGGCTGTACACCCCAGCATATCGTCGGCTGAGGGTTGACCTCATCATAACGCACCGGATATTACATCTTAGTGATTACCCCATGTTGAGACAACTGCTTCATCTGCGCACGCCAAGCTGCACAAGAGGACACCGGCACAAACTTATCGTACCGAAGTTGAAGCGGGTCGCTCACCAACTCTGTTTTGAACGTAGAGTGGTGAATATCTGGAACGACCTGCCGCAGCAGGTGGTAGAGGCGAACTCAGTGTCCGAATTTAAGAAACTCCTAGACGAACACTTTGCAGAGGCAAAATATAGAGAGCGGAACGATAAATAAGGCGTAAATGTCCAACAGCGACGAATGATGCAGCTACACAGAGAAGGCTCTACTCGCTACTTCGTAACAGTATTCGGTATTCAGTGTCCATCATCATCCTCAGCACCACCACCGTCATCATCATGATCATCATCGTCATCATTAATTATCATTAATTATCATCATCCTCATTAATTATCATCATCATCATCATCATCAACAACAACAACAACAACAACAACAAAAGTCAGTTGAACTTGCGCTTCTATGCTAGGTAAACATAACTCCCTCGGAACAAAGAATTATAAGAGAGAGAAGGGTGGTCTTCTGTAAAACCTTAATGCCCTAAACTAACGTACATTTTTTCACTGCCTCGGGCATCAAAAGTGCTTGCTACTCCACCGCAGCGTACCAAGGCATGAGCAGAGTCGACTCAAGTACTCCAAAACGAGCAGCAATCCAGGATGGAGGCACGCCACCTGTAACTTATGACAATGTGATCTATTTGGGTCAATCGTTGGTCAGGTATAGAGGGACGCTAAGTGGCACTTCGGCGCCCAGCGTGTCTGAAATTAGTGCTGCTAAGAAACAGCTGATGCTCCGCACACAGTTGCGAAAGATGTTCGCTGTTGTCCGTGCGGTCGTTGTCCGGTCCATACTTACCAACTAACGGATGCTTTGAAGAGCCCAGTCGACCTATTTGTGCATTCATTTCCCCGTGATATCTGAACTGGTAGCACTGCGTAATAGCGTGTTCAGTTCGTGGTGCGATGTGTCCTCGGCAGTATCAGAACTGCAATCGGTGGGAGCATAAGCGAAAACCACAAACAAACAGCGTTTCGTACTAGTTCGCGAATCAAACTTGGCGGATGTCTCCAAACGTGCTGCACACAAACAATTGTTCATATGAGTCTTATCAACTAACGGTCACTCAGTCTTGGAGCTGAATACGGTACCTACTCTAGCTTGACCAACTGCTGCGGCATCATGGTCTCCGGGGCTGTTGCCGATGAGCTTTAGGAGGATGTTGTGGGTAGGTGGTTGCAGATGGTATCACTCCAGTGGCACTTCAGTTGCTATCAGTTACGCTGGGAATTATAGAAGGAAGGTTAGCAGTGGGGGTCGGGATGGGAGTAAGAGAAACAGATGGAAATGGAAGAAGGGCGTCGCCAGCAGTAGCATGGTTTGCTTATCCGCCAGGCTGTATGCGGCAGATAAGGCGAAGTTTGATAATCTGCGCGACGCCGATACAGGATGAATTTTATGTTTGAAGAAAATGTCATGGTTTTATGTGGGCTGTGATACTGTCAAGGCGTGCAGACGTAGACAGGATGATGGTTGCGGTCTTCAGCCTCTTCGCAAGGCAGCCAGAAGTTGGCAAAGATTAAGTTTCAGAGAAATGGAAGCCATCCCATTCAAAACCCCCTACCTGAAGAACCAGGAGACTGAGTTTGTATGATCTCACACCATTGACCAACCTGGTAGGAGATGATCTCAGCAAGCCCCGGAGTATTACCCAGTAGAGCTCAATGAGTCGAAGAGGTACAAATCCGTCGCACCACGTTAAGGTCCAGTCTGCTTTCGACGGACCGGTATTATACCCTAGTACTAGGGGGAATTGTATAATCTAGTCGAAAATGCATTACATCTAGACTTGGTCAGACAGCATACATACACCCGGGAAACCAACGTGCAGCCGTCCCATCCTTTTGAAAATCCTTTCGAAAATCGCCAGTAGTGCACATTTCATCTGACTCTTGTAAGGTTCGGACCTGCGACTCGGCTGTTGCCAGTCTGCGGTTGTAACCAAGGAGCTGCAGTGGACGGCAACGACTGTTCTGACTACTATTCGATGTGATATAGCGCCGCTCATTATCCTCTGCTTTACACGTTACTACCATGCAGAGGACAGGGTGGCGCCAGGATTCACAATGATTTCTGCAGCAGTGACGCATGCACTGTGGATTGAGACTTCTTCGGGATTTGTCACCATATTGGGGAAAATTAGTCTCTTCGTATGGCAGCGATCAATAAGTCACTGATTGCTTTTTGTTACGTCAAACTGCGGTCAGTTCGATTGATCCGTATTTCTTCAAATCAGAAGCAATCCAAAATGGGTCTCTGTGAGCGAGAACTACCGTCGTTCTGGATATGCCGCACACTTCATCGAAGTTCTTGTCGTTGTGGGCAAGGAAATCTGCGTACTAGGACCAAACAGTTGTGTATTCTCTCTGGATCATGGCGCGCCACAAGATTATTGGGTTCTCAGTTGCGCTAATCCGATAGACAACAGAGCGTGGTTAGTTTGAGAATAACCGAGAATTATTGTGACACCGGTAAACAGCGACAATCGTTCACGGTCATCCCAATCAATAATTCAACTTAAATAAAAAGGACACAACTGCAGTCAGGACCCGTAAGGTCACGAACTTTCAGTGTTCCCTCGGATGCTGTTGTACTCAGATACCGATGTCAATGTGATGAGCAATTCCAATCATCGAGGAAGGGTAAAACGAAACCTATTAAACTTGAAACATGCGTATTCACTGACTCGGGTCTGGTCCAAAAGCAGTGACGCTACACGGAATGTGTCCAATCCGCTCTGGAATTAGGACAACTACAGTAACGACCCCCTTCTGTTTACCGTGCGCTAGTATTGCACTTATTCACGCACAGGCATCACCGGCCATTGATTGTAGGCTAGAGTGATGCCAAGCTTAAGTACAAATTAGTAGAACGAACAGTCATTCAGAAATGGACGGCGCATACCTTCTCAGTAAACTGTGCGCTATCATCTCAGGTGAACTTCTATCTTGTTTTACTGGACTCAGTATGATTACAAACGAACAAGTCTACCATATAGAAGCATAGTTTCAAGTTCCAAACGCAGTATACTACAGGAAAACATGGCAACCACCAAGGTGCTGATGAGTGGATGATGAAATTACATTGTAGTTTGCAACTGTGTCATATTTTACATCAAGCCAAGATAAGCTTAATGTACCCGGATGAATGCACTTTCGTCGCGTTACACTGCCGACTACGGGTGAGCTATAATGACAGTAGAATATTGAGATTTGTTAGCAAAGCAGTGCAGTTGCCATTGAAAAAAACGGTCCCGTA